TTATTCACCTGTGTCTCCCTATTGCTTCCACTCATCTTCCTCATTTTATCCTTGGTCTATAAGTTTTTGGGGGCAGGACCTCACCCAGTTTTTAAACCAAGGCTTCTGGGCACTGTTATAATAAATACATATATATGTATATATACATACATATATATAAAAATGATGAAAGTCTGGGCAAGTCTGCATTGCGTAACTGGAGCGTGGTGCAGAAATCCCTGAGCCAGTGCTGACCCAACATGGCGAATTGCCATAGCACAACCAGCCACCTGCAAGCTGCTCTGGTGTGAGCTGGCTGGGTCTGGAGGCCATAGAAAGTTAAGAGAGGAGTCCCTGTGTTCCAGTGCAGCTCCATATACGTGCAGATTTACTTTTTCCACACCAGAGCTAATTGAGGTAGAATGAACTGGGTTGTGGTGTAAATTGCTGACCTTGCATGAATGCTACATGCAGGAGAGGAAGGAGCAGGAGAGAGGTCATGGTAAGACCCACTGACCCGGAGTGCTTTACCATAATAGAAAACATACGGCAGTGATACTTTAAATAGCTTCAGTTCTTCTTGCACATAGCCCTGGTTGGTCTAGGCCAATATGATCTGTTTCTCATGAGACCTCAACAGCAAATTGTCATGTGCAGAAACTGTGCTTGAAGACTACAAGTTAAGGGAAGGCTGGTCTTTTAATAGACAAATGCAGTGTTTAGTCATCAGACAATCTAGAAAACTAGGTCAGATAGGTGTTGAGTCATAGCAGACAGAATATTTGGTATTAATCAAGAAGGCGCATAGCGAAGTATGTATTGTAGATATTTGATTACATTAGTGGAGTTATCTTTAATCATTGGGTAGAGTCATAGGACGGAACATGATCGAGTCGCCATGGCTTAGTGGGGTACCACCCATCTGTTTAAATGTTAGTGAGGATGACTCATGGTGTTAGCCCTGCCGTGCAGAGGGAGGGGAGCCAGCGTGGTCAGTTACAGCAGCTTGTCTAACACGTGGTATTTTACTAAGCCACCATAACGCTATTCATCCAGGCCACATAGGCCCAAAGAGATAGTGTACAAATGCTGACTGAGACCCCATCATGTGCAACAGCAGGATCCTGCTGGAACACACTGAAAACTCTAATATTTGGGAAAAAAAACATGGATGGTCAGATTTCCAGTGAGGTTGAGCGCTTGCCAGTTCTCTATCTTATCTGTCCTGTATTTGTGGGCTGTTTGCCCAACAACCCTATTTATTTAGCAACACAGGTGCCAAGAAATGAAAATCCCTCAGTCAGCAATATTGACTGACAGGCTGCAGGCAGCACCTTCTCAGCATTTACAAAGAGAGGAGTAGAGTCGATGTGTCCAACGTTAAAAATAACAATTACAAACTCTCAGTGACTTTCTTTACTGCAGGATAGAAAGCAACAACAAAAGATATTGTGTTGTCCTTGGAAGAGGAAGAAATGTCTTAGACAAATTGAGTGTCTCAGCCTGTATGGTTCTGTGCTATACACATTCCCTGAGCTCTGTGCGAGTGAGTGTGCATGAGCACATGCTAATGGATGACCTATATTCAATGTGGAAGCAATAGAAGTATCCATGAGTACTGGCCAATCTCAGCTTCCCAATGGGGAGTGGAATCTGGTGTGCATTATGTAGCACTTTTATTGGTGGCAGGAGAGGTGCAGACTTTTCAACAAAGAGGGTCAACCTTGAAGCACAAGGTTTCTCTGACTGCTCTGCATCTCCCTGCAAAAACACACTTGGGAACAGACTAGCGGGAGTGTAGCAAGAAAAAATACCTGAAGTACTGAGGATTTTTTCCCTCTAGCTAAGTGTAAAGCACATGCAGACCCCCAAAGCAAAGCACAGTGTTAAAGGTGAAACTGGGGACAGCAAAGAAGCTTCTTTACCATTTTAATAAATACCAATAATTCCTTTTTGCCCAGGTCCCATATTCCCAAACTCATTAAAGCAATTTTGGAAATTTTTTTGGCTCTGGAACTTATAAGCAAAACTCAAACCATGCAGTCCCTTGAGAATCACTTGCACAAATTGCACAGGTCAGGCCAAAATAAGTTTCTGTCAAACAGCCTAACACCTAAGCTTATTATGAAACTGGTGACTTGTACGAAGGATCTGTACGTGGGACAGTCTCAGAATGAATTAAGGGGGTGGGGGTGTGTCACAGCACTTGTTTTACTTTGGTCCCACTGAAAACTCAAGTGATATTTTTACTGAATGCATTGCCTCTGTTAGCCAGCACAGTTCCTGTAGGTTGTGGCTAAGCTGGTGGACCCAGAGGGCTCCAGAACTCCAGTGCCCAGGTGGGTGCACATCTCATTTTTGACCCAGGGCATGCAGGAGAGTGCACCAGCACTTTCTGCATTCCTGTCCACTCCTCACTGCCTGCTTTCCTGGGAGGAAAACCAGGATGCATCCCTAGCAGCGGATACAGCACATTCTGTTCTGCTCCGCAGCCACCCCAGTGTGCGGGTCTAAACCCTTCATTTGGCAGCTATCATGTGGACTTTAAAATAGAGAAGACCTGTTTGAGCTTGTCTGCTGCTCTGCCAGGCTGCAGGTTTGGTGAGGACTGGCTGGTGGGAAGCAAACTGCTTGCAGGGGTCACGACAGCCTCTGGAAACCAAACTGAGATCATTGTCCTCACATTCAGCCTGGTATCTTCTCACTTTTTTCTTTTCAAAGGGTCACTGAATTGGCTTTCTGTGCTATTTTGACCCTGTCCTAATGATTCATCAGTTGTCTTGTGTGGATGAGTGCTGGTACATGGAGCAGCTGTGTTTATGTGGAGAGTAGGATGGGTCAGGGGCTCTGTACTTTAAGCATGTCTCCTGAGCTCATTTTTCCTGCACTACATCTATTCCACAGTTCCCCAGGCTTAGCCTTGTGCTGAGCTGACTGTAGAGTCCCCTTTCCCAGAAGATGATTCATGCTCCCTCACAGTGCTTCTTGCACCCTCTTACAGGGTTACACCCTGTACTTGTGAGGCATTGTCTTGGATTTCTTTGGGGAGGTATGAAAATGTAGAGCACATCATATTCCTCCATCAGCAGTTAACCAGGGAGGCATAGGAAGAGCTTCTTGTCTGAGATACATTTGTTGTTGGTTTTTTTCCCCTCTTCTGAATAAGTACTGTATGTGTCTGGGAGGATTTTTAAAGCATCCTTCAAGACACAGGCTGCTTCTTTCCATGCAGAACCAAGACAAAAGGATGGGTTCAGTAATGCGCAGCTGCTAAAGAAAGGGCAGCTGAGGGCAGATGGGTGGGAGGAGCAGAGGTGTCTGGACACAAGGGAGTAGGCAGAGCAAGGGCTTCAAGATGGCATTTGTTGGGACAGAAATGTTTTTCAGGGGAGAACGGGCTTGAAGAGAAGAGGGTTGGAAAACTGAAAGTCCAAGGATGGAAAATACTGGGGATTAGATGGTTTGAGCTCTGGGCAGAAGAGGATGAGACTTGTAGGTCAGAAGAAGCTGGTGCTGCCGTAAGACAGGCACCTCAGCTTTAGGAGCCTGGATGTGATGTTCTCCATAGGGGATGTCTGTGAATCCCATTGTTCACGGCCTTTGGCCTTTTTGCTTGTTGTTAGATAAATGAAAGTGACAGCTAAAGTTAGAGGAGGGGCGTACGTACTCGTGATTGCCAGAATCACTTAAAATTGGAGGGGCAAGAAATAAAGCCCTATGATTGGGTGTGATAAGGTTCAGACCAAGTCAGAGAAGTGACTGTCTTTCCCCTTACAGCTCTGAGGTTATGACTCTGCTTCCCTGAGCAGCCCAGACTGATTTTGAGGCTTTATGGCTAGCTATGGATTCATCACTGAACCAAAGGATGCTTCTGCCAAGGCTGATAATCAGCCCTGATGTTTAGAGGCTCCAAACATCTTGAGACTCTTTCCATGCTCCCTGCTGCAGAGGCTCTTCAAGCTCCTGGACTATACCTCCTTCTCTCCCATCCTTCTCATACCTCTCCTGCCTAATAAACAGTGTAAACCACGTGCTATACTGCAGAGCAACCTGCTCTGTAAGAATTTAATGTACTGACTAGCAAAGTTTCTTGAGGTACTGTGTGTGGAAGCTGTCTTATTTTCATGCTGTTTGAAAACGTAGCAAGTTACGTTTATCACAAATTTCAAACAACTCATATCTTCTTCAAAAACCAAGACCACATTCTTAAAGACTGTTTTCAAAAAGCAGTTGCAGCTTTGTTTAATCCAGAAATTTTACAATGATTCTTCTTTGTGAGTGGGCCTGCTTTCTCACATGCACTCTTTTCCCTGTGCTGTGCTTAGAAAAATCCTTCTAAATCTTTTGAACTCCTTTTGCCAAAATAACTCACTCTGCCTTTTTATAGTCTGTGCTTTTTGCCTTTACAAGCTACTTAACCTGAATGTAATTTTGCTAATTTTTTTTTCTTCCCGCCATTTTCTGTGCCTGGGTAACTGGTAACTCACTTTGGAACAAAAGCTTGGTAGAGCTGCACTGGAGAGAATATCAAGAGCAAGATGAAATACTAATTTTAGAGTAGTTTATTTACAGGTGATAAAACTTCAAAATTAGTTTAAGAGTGTTTACTTTTCTGTCATAGTTTGCAGTCTATCATCCAGATACTTTTGTTCCTGAGGGCTGAATTTACAGCAATGCACTGATGTGGCATGCCAGGAAATTTTCCTGCTTTGTCTGTAGAAATCTTCTGCTGGGCACTGTAAGATGCAGAGGTGTGTAGACTGAGACCGCCTGTTAGCTTTACATTCGTGTTCTGTTGGATTAACTAGACTGGTGCTTTAACCGATAAATAGTAGAGGGAAGGTGATTCATCTGCTTCTTGAAAACTTTCTGTTCTACTAATTTATGCAGGAAAGGACAAATGCTGGATTAGATTATCTGTGCCTGCTTGTCTAGAGTTGCCTGTGCCTAGCAATGGCTGGCATGGCAGGGCTTGTTTTGATCTCTGTAGCCCATGACAGCTTTCTTTCCTTTTCTTCTAGGCCTGTCCCAGGTTCTCTGTCTTCACTACTGCACCTACACAACCGACAAAGACAGCCTATGCCTGCCTCTATGCCTGGCACCCTGCCCAACCCTACCATGCCTGGATCTTCTGCTGTACTCATGCCTGTAAGTATTTTGGTTTGGGTTTTTTTGGGAGGAAGCAGGGGGAGTTGTTTCTTTTTTGCACAATTTAACCTATGCAGAGGTGAAAGTCTGCAGGATTTTCTAAAGAAATCAAAGTGTGATGAGTTAAGGAAGCTGGACTTATTTCACTGCTTCATCTTACACAAGAGTATTTCTGGTGCAGATAGTGGCATGTTAATTAGCGTGAGAGTGATTAGAAACAGTTTACACGAGACTACAATTTCTGGTTCTCACACTTGGTCATGTAGGTGAGATCAGTATGTCTGTGCTGGAACAAAAAGAGTTTTCTCAAGTCAGACAAAACTGGAAAAGCCATGTACATGTGTTATGCCAGTGAACTCTAAGTAATCCTCTTGTTTGTGAAGATAACCAGCTAGCAAGATAGAAATATGACTTACTTTTCTGGCCTGGTAATTGCACTTAATTAGAATTGGGTCATGATCACTGCTCATCTTCCACTCATTTCTACAGAGATGGGAATATTTCCCATCTGCTGGAAGACAAAGGGGTGCTTTGCAATTGTAGCTTCAGATTCTTAAATGACTTTAACAACCCTTTCAATATAATGCATTTGGGCAGGTTGGGGATGGAGATGAGTAAGGAAGAGGAGACTGGGACAGGAGAAGTTTCTGTTTCATTACATGATTTTCAGTCTGGTAGACAACCTGAGTGTGATTGACCATGGGAAGGAGGAAAGCCGTGCTTGTTCTGGCTTTGCTGGAGCAAGGGAGACACTCCAGAGGGCTGCATAGATTCAGGTTTGGCTGCTATTTGAGCAGTCATTAATAAGTCAAGTAATTAGTAACTTGTCAATAAGGCTTTCCTGGAATATCGACCAGGAAGTTCAACAGAAAAAATACAAGACATGTCACTGTGGGAGTTTTTTTCTGGCATGATTCCTAAGGAACCTGAAATGGAGCAAACATCCTGCTTCAGTGTAAGCTCAGGGGCTTCGGGTTGCTGCTGGGGAGCCCTTTGGGCAGCTCTGTGAGCAGACAAGCAGGTGTGCTCCAGCTGAGAGCCCCTGAGACATGAACACAGAAGCGAGACAGACCCTATCAGTGCTGGTTGCCTCGTCTGCAGCTCCTGCGCCATAGCCCTCTGGGAAGCGCTGCAGAGATGGCAGCCCGTGGGAAGGATGAGGGGCACTGAAACAAGAATCCCATGATTCTTGCTGGGATCATGGAGGGTGGGAGTCAAGACCTCACAAAAATAGCTCCCTTGCTTGGAAGGGCTCAGAAAGATTCAAAAGCTGCTTTCTTTTAAGAGCCAAAGGTTCAGGGGACTGGCCCAAAGCAAGGCAGGATGCTCAGCTCCGGTTGAAAGCAGCACCATAAGCCTACTTATATCCCCTACCAATAACTAGCAGTGGAACAGGGCTTGCCTCTTTTCAGGGGAGATACACCAGGAAATTATTTTATCCAGGCCTTACTGGCCTTACTGCAGTTAGGTTTTGTTTGAGAATTGCATCCCTCCTTCCCAGCCTAGTGAAATTGCAGAAAGGGCTCTGAAGAGCCGAGAGGAGCTCTGCTTTGGTTTTTTGCTATCTCAGCAGTACATGAAAGCTTCCCTTAAAAGACATACGGAAAACTCTTCTCAGCTGAGCAGTCCGAGTGAAGGGAAAAAAAAGCCAACTTGTTTTTCATTTATTTGGGATTGTAGATTTTTATTTATGTTTTTAACAAGCTAAGCTGGGCTGCATTGACAGGGGAAGCTACAACTTTATACAGTGATGCTTTTAGAACCACTTAACTCTGACTGTTGCTATACTGAAAGGGAGAAAATCATTACAAAAAAGCACAAACCTGGGTGGCTGCTACATTTGTTTAGTAAAGAACCTTTTTCTTTATAATTGGCTGTGAGTTTTCAGGGTTGATTCTGATGAAACACGGTCCTGCGTGCATACACACATGCAATTCACGACACAGATTGTTATTTTTCCAGTCATGACTTGAAGAAATAAAGCTGAGTCCATTTAAATAGAAACTGAGCATAAATTCTTGCAAATGTCTCCAGATGTTTTCAAAACTTTGTTTTTGTTGTTTTAAAAGATGGAGCGACAAATGTCAATGAACTCCAACATCATGGGGATGCAGGGGCCGAACCTCAATAATCCGTGTGCTTCACCTCAAGTCCCCCCGATGCATTCAGAAGCCAAAATGGTAAAAAGAGAAAATAATAATACTAATAAAATGCTTTTCTTTTATTGCTCTTGCATACTGGTTACCCAGACAGTGGGGGATGTAGCCAGACACTGCTTACTTCATTCTTAGTCATACGTTACACTCTTTTTTTAATACGCTGCAGTAAATTGAACTATGTCTATGAACTTTCAAGATGTTCCTAGTCCTTGCTGAACTCTCGGTGAGAGGGAGCTGAAGCGCAGGTTGGGCTATCTGGTCTGTACTGTGTTAAATAGGATTTTGGTGCAGATTAGTGGAATTTAAGCAAATGGTCTGGCTGGTTCTCTGATGGTGTCTGTGCTCCACAACTTGGCTCAATAAGTTAATAAAGAGTGAAGTAAAAAGTGTCTGATGTGGAGAGAGTACACGCGCTATTTGTTTTTTCCAGATAGGTGCATGGTGTATCAGCGTAATGGCCATGTTAGAAAAGCAGACCAAACAATGTATATAAAACTGGGATATTTTCTTTTGCTTGAGTGCAACAAAGGTATCACCATCAAAAAGAAGAGTCAGAATTTCAACAGAAGTAATTTATTTATATGAGTCAAATATCATAGTGTTTTTTGAAGTTGTATGCCTTACTAGGTCAAGGCTTCTCAAGCATATGTATTGGTATAGTATTAATGTAGGTAAACTAAGCTACAAGTGGGCATTCGTAAATTTTCCCCAGCTTTAGATGCACTCTGAGGGAGGTATTTGGCACTAATATCCCCGGAACTGAGTTCATCAGTGTTGAAATACTTAGGCTTTTTAATTTTCAGAACTGCCATTTCCTGGCTAGTGGAAACACAAGGACAAAAGTTTGCAGTTTAACTCTGTAGGCTTTTTATCCTCTCAAGATATCTCATCACAGTGGAAAACAGGAGTAACTTCACTGAATTTATTTCGGTGGCATTTTGCCAAGGTAAAATTGTCATGAGTGAGAGAAAGAAATCAAGCTGACAAAGATTAAGCAACCACATGTTTTTATATATTTCTACTTTGCATGACTGGTACAGCTTTTAAAGTTGTTGTCATCTACCCTGAGGCAAAGAAAAACATCTTGTTGTCTATAGGTATGGTGCATGCAGGAGACTATGGGTTCAGAGCAACAACATATACAAGCTTATTCTATCTCTGTTTTCTTATATTGGATAGGTCATGCCTTTGCCTCACTGTTGGTCTGGGTTAAGTTGTTAACCCAACCTCTGTTAACACCCCGTCTAAAACCACACTCCGTAAACATGCAGCCAGTTGGCCAGAAGAAGAGCAACAGCCAAAAACACTCTCTCCCCCTGCCAAGGAAAACCTGTGGTCAAGAGTTCTTTCTCTGCTGTACCACACAGTGACGGTGACATGCCAAATGGCAACAGCATCCACAGCAGAGCTTGTTAAAAACTTTTTGGAATAGGCAAGTGTTTTTTCAACGTAAGCATAGCTGAGCCAAGCTAAATACTCCTTGGCTGAATAAATCTAAAACTGGCATCTGTTTTGGGGACTAAAGGTTCTGTAGTTTACTCTCCCCCTGCACTCCCTGCCTTTTTTTTTACTGGAAGTGCGAGGCTACTTAAGAACAAGATTAAATTATTGGTGCATATGGTGAGAATTCTGTGCTTTAATAGCTAAAGCTGTACATTAATACAAATTACTTTTTAATCTGGATAAGCAGGTTTTGTTCCTAAACCTAATGTATGAAGGCAGGGTCCTTTCAAACAGAAATTGCTATCAGTTCCAGAACACAGTATAGTGAACAAGCAGCGCCTTTGCTTCTCAGGGGCTTTCTGCCACTCTTCCAGAGGTGGAAAAAATCTACGTATGTTAACTCTTAAGAGTAAGAGAGAGTATTCACAGCTCCAGGACCTTTCCTCCTTTCCAAATGCAGAGGATTTTTTAGCATTCTATATTCTAGTTTTATACTTTGTTTTCATTTGAGCATGCATGTAATGTAAAAAGCATCTTTGTTTAGCCACTGCTTTGAGGAATACTAATCTTATTAACAATACTCATTATGAACACAAAGTGGAAAAAAATTTAGGAAATATTCAGAGCAAAATTATTTCTTACACATAGGTTAATGAATTTTAAATCTGAATCATCTCTATTACAGGTATGTTTGTTCCTATTATTAGCTATTTAATTTTGCTTCATGCATACTCTGGTGATGTTTTTTTATAAAGTTGAAAACGAGGGTGCTTAGTAACTTACCGGATTGCATCCTGCATTAGGAAGGAATTTCAGATTTCCCCAGATTCTGCTAATGCTATTACTGCTGGTGCATCCAGCACTGCTTAGGTTCTCTTTGGCTGGCCGCACTCTGTGGAGAATATAAGAGTTAGACACGAGACAAAGTCATCTAAGCTGCTTGCAGCTAATGACTGCAGTAACTAGAGAAGTTTGGGGAACTTTGGGCCTGTTTCATCAGCTGCTGAAATCCATGGCAGATGGATCAGCATTTTCTTTGTGCCTACATGAAAGAATGCAGAACAGGCTCCTCTAGATGTGAGACCCAGATGTGAGACCAAATCCTTGTGGCCTCTTGGAAGTATGTACCTGAGGAATGCAAGCATGATTTGGCACACAGCAGTCATAAACGCTGTTTGGTTACATGTGTGACTTAATTTGCTTCTATAAAATAAATACAGATAAATAATACCAGTATGGATATGGTCTGATGCCAGGTTTTTTAGAGAAAGTAGCTAGATTGCAAGATATTTACACCCTTGACTGATTCATAATCACTTTGTAGCAGGAAATGGAAGTCAATCTGATAAATACATACATTGTGTGATATACAAACACATCTACAGACACAGAGTATGTGTTGCATTCATGTTATGTTTCTATAATAAACAATTTATTTATCTGTGTTTGCTTTAATCAGTTCATATTACCTGGTATTTATAGAAAGCCAAACTGCCACCCAAGGTGCTGGTTTCCTGGTTTAATTTTTGCAGGTGCCTGTTCCTTCAAATATTAAAGTATTGTAGTTGACATCCCAGAACTGAGTTAATTTATCACAACGATCTCAGTTTCCCTCACAGTGTGCCTGTCAGTTAGGTTATCACTTAGTGCTTTAAAACTGTCCTAGTAAATGAATGAGTGAACATCTAAATCAATACTGCTTTCTTCCTAGATTCAGAGCTGAGTGGGTAAAACCTTTATGCTGCCCACCAAAAACACACATTGATTTTGTATTAGAATATATTTCATTGGGAAGTGGAGGAAATGTATAGCTCTAAGTGTACATGGTAAAAATATACAGAATAGCACGTGTAGCATATTAACATGTGGTTCAGTAGGCTGAGAATATTATGAACTTGGAATTGGTGGCAGTGCCTTTGCTTTAATATACTGCTTACATACAGTTTGGTTTTGCAGTTTCAGAGTATTCAAGGTTTTATAACTTGGAAGTGCAATACCATGTGGATTACCGGAGTGAAAGATAAACAGTGTGTACTGAACCACTGGAAGACTGCATCGCAGCAGGTCTTTCCAGGGAGCTGATGCCTCTATCTGAGTATTGCAAGGCATTGATCTTTACCTTTAGAGATTTATGAGCTCTGAAAGGAGGTACGAAAGGCAGGCAGGCGATGAAAATAATTGAACTTAAAAATACAGTTTGCAATTTGACCTGTTAATTTTTTCTTTTACCCTCTCCATCTGCCCCTTGCTGTATACGTAGTTTTATAAAAGGTAAATAAAATGTACTATGTGTGGCTTGGCTGTGCCTGCCTTCCTGACAGAATCTGTACAGCTCTTTAGAAAAGAAATATATTATTTCCATATCAGAACTATGTAGGGTTGTGGGATATTGTTTTTGCCTAGTATACATTACTAGGTTGAACAGTAGTAATAAAAAAATCAATCTGAAAGTGTCTATCAGCTGTAACAGTGAAAACATAACCAGAAAAGAAAATGGACTAGTAATGATCATGTTGCTAATTTTAATAGTAAAATATCCATATTAACTGAAATCCATATTAACTGAATAACTTTGTAATTTACCTAATAATGCTGGACAGCTTTGGGGGAGGACGAGAGAGGTGGAAGAAATTGCAGTTGGCCAGTTGTCATCAGCAGTAATTTATATTTGACTTAATGAGAGTTAAGGGTCCAGATCCTACTGGTGGCTGTGAAAATCTTAGTCCAGGCATCACACAGCTCTCCATCACAGAGCAAAGACAGGACTGGCTGCAGGGACCTGGGTGCATTTCGTATGGCTGTCGGACAGGCACTGCTTGCTTTCTCCAGAAACACAGCATGTCAGCTAGGTGGGAAAGGCTCTGCTGCAGAGGTGGCCGGCTTTCCTCAGATGCAGGTTGGGGTCTGTGTTCGGATGGAGTCTTCTGCTCCTTCTTGTTTTACAAAAAACGTGCGTTTCCATGCCTGTGAGCTGTGATGGTACAACTGGTGCAAAGGGAGAGACAGTTGGAGTTATCTCTTGCCCCTCATCCCGGTTTGGTCCTTGGCTTAGCTGTTGCAGTAGCCCATGGGTGCAGATACAAGAGCGCTGCCCCGAGGTGTTATCCTGGGACAGCTGGTGGACTTGGGAAGGGCATCCCACTTTGGGCCCAGATCTGCAAGGTTTCCACACTGATTTCAGGCAAGAGGCTGGCATAGGCAGTCAAGTCAGGGTCAGAGCCACTGAAGCTCTAGGTTTAGCTATTTAACATTCATAACTGAAGATACTTTGTTTAGTATAATAAAAGATTTGAAGTCCATGTTTTCCTATGGAGCTGGCTGGGAAATGAGTCGCTTTAGCAGAACAACACGCATTGCTTCAGGGCCAGAAGGTTTTTCTTCACACGATTCTGGACTACTGAGCAGAAAGAAAAATGTTGTATCTCTGCAGAGCTTTCAACGGCAGTTGCTCATATTGCCTTTCACAATAAAGCAATGAAAGCAGCATAAGGAAAAAAATGTCCAAAGCAAAGTT